ACTGGACTCGCCTCGACGTCGCCGCGCCACTGCGAGCACTGCATGGCGACTCGCGCGAGACACTTATGCGAGAGCTGCACAAGGTGCACCCCTGTTGGTGGCATGCCACTTAAGGAGGACATGGCACGAGCTCTACGAGCAGATAACATGCCGCAGGTAAACCTCGACCTCATCCCCACAGTGGTATATAATTGTAGGGGATGTCGTAAATGGCTACCGCTGGCACATCTGGTCATCATTACACAGCGTCTTTCGACACGATTTAACCAGCACGTCGAATGCGACATCCTCTGCCGCCAGGAACGCATGATCTTGCGCCTGATCTGCTGCTCTTCACGATGCATTCGTAAGCACGAGACGACGCTGCTCGCAGCCATCGACCGTTCGTGGGTCTAACTTTTCGGCGCGATGGAGATCTTCGTCGTGGACAGTGGAGGCAGTATGACTTACACGTACTTCGTCGATAATATGAGGAGGCGAGGGGTGCAGGTTGAAACCCGAGTCCGCGCCAGTACGCTCGTCTCATAGAGCGATGTGGTCCGATAGTACGACGCGCATTTCGCATCGCAGAGGAGCAGCTAGAGCGCGACGGCATCGCAGCCAACTTAGAATCTATGCTGTCTGCTCGCGCGACACTCGCGGGCATCAGCCTCATTCGCGTTGGTGGCGTGACACCGTTCAACGTGGTCTGTTGCAGGTTGCCTTCCATGCTGCCACCACTTGAAGCAGACAGCGAGGGTGAGGTATCTGGCGTCTGTGACGCCGTTGCTGGCTTTTCTATTGGTGGAGATGTGCAGCCCAACCGACTGCAGTGGCGTATCCCATAGATCGCACTGCAACGTATGATTGAGGCTACTTCGATTTCCCGCGTGAGCCGCGGCCTCTGGACACGCGCCGCCGAATCCGGGGAGGGACGCTTCAACGTTGGCGACCAGGTGGAGATCCATCGGCCTCTGTATGCGAGAGACGTGTCGGGCTGGGCTGGTCCTAGTGCGATCATCTTTGGGGACTTGGCTAGAGGCAAGGCTGCTGTCAAGTGCCGCCAAGCCGAGATGGTTTGCAGATTGCAGGACGCACTGGCCTTTTATCGGCGCCATCTTTGATGACGTGGGCGCCGGCGTGGCTCGAGCAGGCCTGGCCAGGGATCGTTCGGGGGACTACCTGGCGCGCGTCGCGCCAGGCTCCGGGGCCGTGACCTCCCCGGCCACTGAGACAACGCGAAGGGCGTGCAGCGGACTGGGCAGAGTCGGCAACGCCTCGACATCCCCGAGGATCGGCGTCTCTTGTCCCGCAGACGCTCTCAGCTGCCAGACTTTCGTGCAGTGTGTCTCATACGCAGCCAGACAGCTGCTGACGACTCGGCAGGCTGCGTCCGCAGCTTGGTCATCTGGTGGTTCCCTCGGAGCCCGAGCGACGTCCAACAGCTACGCCCGGCGGCGTCATGTTCGACGCCCAGTGGCTCATCGGCGAGCAGTTGAAGGAGGTCCGCATCGTACAATCTGTTTTGGGTCGCGACTAGGTGCTTGTGGCAGACGCCATGGCTGGGCCATGGCGGGGCTATCAACGGCCATGTCACCGGCGCTTCCGAGGACGCCGATCGTGTCACCGAGGGTGGTTCACCATCAGACTCGGCGGTAATACCAGAAGAGGCCGCCGGCGACTTCTCCGGCCACGGCCAGCAGGTGATGTTGGCAGTCTGGCAGGAAGTCGAGAGGGCAGAGGATCTGGCCCTGGAGCTGCAGGAACTGGAGAGCACCGGTAGCCCGCAGAAGATCTATGCGGCTGTCTAGCGCGCTGCGGCCGGTCTCGGCCGCAAGCCGCGCGAGTGGTCCAAGCGCCTGGAGACGCAGCGCCAATGTCAGGGCATGCGCGCGCAGTGCCAATACTACCTGCGCGGTGCCTCCCTGGGCGACTGCGCCACGCCCGGGGAGAAGGTTAATTGGGGAGAACATGTGGGATGGGCCTGGGCCCAGGAGAGCGCGGAGCACCCCGGAGCTGTAGCGAGAAACCGCCTGGTAACTGCGTTGCTCGCGTTTCCGCGACAGCCGTGCTTGAGGTCCATGCCGCCGTCGAGGCCGCTTCAATCCAGCGCGACTCCGAGTTCCTCACTGAGGAGCGAGCGTCGAGGCTGTCCAAGGACGTCGCCATATTTCGAGAGGCGGCCGCTGGAAGGCGCCCGAAACGCCGCGGGCTCCAGACGTGTTTTCAAATGGAAGCGCCAGAGGGGATCGGGCGGCAGGTCCGTCGGGGTCATCTAGTGCCGCATGGCGCTAAGAGGCTTCCGTGACATGGGTGCCCCTCGGGGCGCTCGCCGGGCCGGCGAAGCGGGCGTCGCGGCGCATGTTGTCTTCGGAGGCGTCGCGTCGCCCAGACCCCGGGCGCGTCGCCGTGGGCGTCGAGCAGGCGCTCCTGAAAGGCGTGACCTGCGCCGAGATGCAGGGGCAGGGCGACGCACCCCACGAGGTAAACTTCTCCCTGGCGCCCGGCAGTGCCGCCGTCCTCAGGCAGGTGCCAGGCTGCGAGTCCTTCGACGAGTGGACCGAGTGCTTGCGCTGCACCCGGCCCGGCGCGGTCTGCGAGGATGCGCCCGGGGCCTTCTCCATGAAGCTCGCCCTGGTCGCGCTCTTGCCAGAGCGCGGCGCAGCGCCGACGAGGTGGGGCCTGCTGCAGAGTTCGAGGCCAAGCGCGAGTCGTCTGGTGCCAGTGGTGCCAGCTGCTCGGAGCTAGTGCTCATGCTGTCCTTGCGCTTTGACGATCTGAAGACCGCGGGGCGCAGGGGGCGCGTTGACTGGCAGATCGGCAACTTCGAGAGCCGGAACAATGCAGGTGGCAATACCTTTGGCAGAGTTCACCGGCGCCGCAGCGCCGGTGGAACAGCGATGCTCGACCAGGACGAGTGCGTCGACGCCCTGGGCCCAATCGGGCGCGTCGACCTGGTCAAGGCGAAGGTCGACGAGCCAGCAGGATGTCAGCTCCCAGACCTCTTGGTCTCGCTCTTCCGAGCAGCATCGTGCGCTCTGCTCGCGCAGCGCCATGCCGCCGCGTCCATTGTCGCGCTGCAGAGGACCAAGAACAAGCTGCTCATGCGTCGCGTGGTGCATCGCAACTCCGCTGTTCTGGCCGCGCAGAAGATCGCGGCGCCCATCGCCTTCCCGGCCATGGAGTGCGCCGAACAACTATGCGCGCGCATCGATGGATTGGTCAAGCGAGAGGAGGATGCCGTTTACGGCATGAGGGGGGCCGTGTGTATGCGTCCTGGCAAGTGTCGCAGTACGGGCAAACAGGTATGCCACTTGCTCGATGCCGTGAGCCCATCGCGCGCGCTCGCGTGACGATCATCATCTCGTGGCTCAGAGCTGCTGCCAGCATGCGGCGCAGCAGGCGGCTTACAAGCGCGCCTCCTGGCGCTCCGCGATTCGGTGTGCGGACGTGCCTCAGCCGAGGGGCTAAGTGCGGTGAGGGGGGGGGGGGGGGGCTACGCAGTGCCGGCCGAGCTGGTCGTCGACAGCATGTCCGTCATCTTGACCTTGGCCATGGGTCCTGTTCGGTCCCTGTCGGGGAACAGCATGGCCGGGCACCTCTGGTGGCAAGCAGATCAGCTTCGCACCAATTAGATCAACGACGTACTGTGGTGGGACACAAGAGACATCATAGCGGACCCCATGACAAAGGGCAGTATCGGCAGAGATCTCATCAAGAGCATCCTGGACGGCAAGCTAAACTACGACCACCGCGCGATCAAGCTGAGCGAGGAGGACATAATACGACCACGCCAAGCTCACTATAAAATGATCTCACCGTCAACGAGAAAAGCGACTCGAATGATTGAGTCATTTGGCGCTCGCATTTCCTGGATTAGGTTCGCGAAAACGATCCCCGACTGGCATCTCGCCCAACCTTGTGGGCAATCTGGTCAGATATGAAGAGAGTGGTCGAGCATACAAGTGAGGATTGTTAGTGAAAGATGTGACGGCAGTTGAGCATGCTACGTGGGTGCTGCCGCGTCCATAATACATGTTGATGGAGTAGTCATCCACCTTGATGCTTTGCTCCATCTAATTGTGCATCACCCTTCATATATTATGCAGGGAGTGGTCAGCATAACTCCCTGCCGTGCATTTGGCTGCGATTGGAATTATTTGGTATAGCCAGTTCGTTGTGTTCCGGGGGGTGTCCGGGTTGTTTGTACTTAGGAAGCCACAGAAGTATGACGAACCTGTTTGTATTTAGGAAGCCACCGAAATATGACGGACCCGTTTGAGCACCATAATCGAACGGTACGTTATCAGTGCATGCTGGGTGCGGGGGGGGTCTTTCTGTTTTCCGCCGCCTTTCGTGGTTCAAGGGTGGCCGCCTTCCGCCCGCTCTTATACGCGCTGTACGACTTCCGCTTAACGCTGGTTATTGAAACATGCTCCCTCATCTCCTTTTTTGCATTTCAAATCTCCTCGTTTGCCTCCTCTCCCCCCTCTCTTTCCCCTGCCTCCTCCCTGTCCCACTCCCCATACACCCCGTCGTCGTCATTCATCGCCTTCCTCTTCCTCCTGCTTGCCTGCCCCCTCCCCCCCGCGCCATCGTCGCCGCCCTTTTCTTCCCCTTCCGTGCTTCCCTCCTCCCCCCTCCCCCCGCCCCTCCCCGACCCTTGTGGGGGGACAGTGGAGGAAGGGGGAGGACGAAGGGCGACAGGGGGAGGGGCGGGGGGAGGGGCAGGGCCTGGCGGTCTGAACGATGGCGTCCCAGGAGCGCGCGCGCGCGACGCTGGGCGGCCCCGTGGAGCCCGCGCAGACGGTTCATGTCGCCACCGCGGCCTGGGCTCTGGCCCGGCTGCCGTGCCGCGCGCCCGAGGTCCAGCGCCGCTTGTCGCTGGCGCCCCTCGCGCCGCTGCCGCCCCAGGCCATTTGCCGCGTGGCCTGGGCGGCCGCGGCGGCCGCGGACCGCGCGGGCGCGGCGGCCGTGGCCCTGTGCCGCGCGGCGGCAGCGGAGGCGGCGGGCCGCGGTTACCTCGGGTTCGGCGGCCGGGACCTGGCGACGCTGTGCTGGGCGCACGCCCCCCTGAGGCTTCCCGACGACGCCCTGCTGTCGGAGGCGCTGCAGCGGCGGCCCGAGTTGCGCATGCGCGACCTGGCCGCGGTGTCCTGGAGCGCGGCGCCGCTGAGGGCCGACCACCTGCTGGCGCCGCTGGCGGCTGCCTGCTCGGCCAGGTCTCAGCGGGAGGCGCCCCTCCTGCTGGCCGCTGCGGCGTGCGGGGGCCCAGAGGCAGCGGCCGGTGCCGCGCTGCCTTGGCTGCAGGCCGGCTGGGCCTTCGCCTTCACGGGGGCACTGGCCGCCCCGCTGCAGCGGGCGCTGGAAGGGCCCCTGCGGAGCCTGGGTCGGGCGCTTGACGCAGCGGGCCGCAAGAGGGAACAGGCGCCAGAGGACGGCCCGGCGCAGCCAGCTGGGCAGCAGGCGGAGGCGCGCGCGTCCGCCGCCCCGCCTCCGTGGAGGCGGGCAGCTGGCGGCGTGCTGCCGCGCGTGGTGCAGCGGCTGCCCGGAGTCGCTGTGGTGCACAAGCCTCCCAACTGGGAGGTCGATGCTTCCAGTGCGTCCCAGGGGCGGCCTGCATCTCATCGCGCGGCGACGCGATCCGCAGTCGCCCTCAAGCTTTCTGCCTTTTTGCAGTCCACCTTCAGTATCGCTGAGGCTCCCGTGGTGCACTCAGGTCATCTGGAGTTCGGCCTGCTTCACCGCCTGGACGCCCCCTCGTCTGGTCTGGTACTTGTTGCCCTATCCTACGAGGCGCTCCTCCTCCTACGATGGCAGAGGGACACGATTGCCATCGAGCGCGACTACGCCATCCTCTGCCACGGACACGTGCCGCCAGAGCTGGCATCCATACAGGCTCCTTTAATCAAGAGGGGCGGTACGAGCGAAGTCCACGAGAGCGGCCAGGTCGCGCACACGCGGGTCAAGGTGCTCGGCCACTACTTCGCCCCGCCAGCCGCGAACGGCAGCTGCGACGCCACCGTCCGCCCGCCCCGGCGGGTCTCGCTGGTCGTCGTGCGCTTGGTGACGGGGAGGCAGCACCAGATTCGCGCGCACTTCCGCTACGTGGGGCACCCGGTCGTGTGCGACGGCCGATACGCGCAGGACGTTTTCGACGAGGACCAGGCGTGGTGCCCGAGGAACTTCATCCACCGGTGGCGCCTCGGATTCAGGCCCGCAGGGGGCACCTGTACGCCACCACCACGGCATGGCCAGGAACTGGTGCTCGGCATCGCTCGGACGTGTGCATTGTTCCTTCGGCGAGGACCACCGAGGAGCATCCTTGATCGATTGGCGAACAAAAGCACGCACGAAACCGAACAAAAACACAGGGAATGGTCGTCCGAGCGATGGCCGGGGTGGGCCTGCACCTCCTCCCTGCACCTCCTCTGGCCAGGAGGAGGAGGAGGAGGAGGAGGAGGAGGAGGAGGAGGAGGAGGAGGAGGAGGAGGAGGAGGAGGAGGAGGAGGAGGAGGAGGAGGGGAGGAGGGGAGGAGGAAGAGGAGGAGGAGGAGGAGGAGGAGGAGGAGGAGGAGGACGAGGGAGGAGGAGGAGGAGGAGGAGGAGGACGAGCCCCGGCACCTCGATGTTTGTCCCCCGGCGCCCGACCCCAGAGGTCTCGACTCCCTCCCCTTGGGGCAGGCTTCGCACTCCGACCCTGAGTCAGGAGGGAACAAGAACACACAGACACAATGAATCCTCGCCTCCCAGGAAAATATGGGAAAATATGGGAATTGGGCGGGAAGACAGAAGCCAAGAACATATTGGAAAATATGGGGAATCTTTTTATTTGTGTGTATATTTATTTTTGTGTGTCCCTGGGCCCCTTCACTGAGACCCGACGCTGCAAAAAGGTGCAACATCGCCAGGGATCACCACCGGAGCCCCGCACCCCATCTTTCTGCGCCATTGCTCGAGCCGGATCGCTCCGTGAGGGTCCCGGGGCCCGAGACCGAGCGAAGACGCCCGTGGTCAAGATTGCAACGCCGGGATCTCAGGGGAGCAGTCTGCTCGACGACCCAGGGCCCGCTCGAGGGCCTCCACGGGCGGGACACGGCCCAGGGCGCCCCGCCATGCCACGGGCGTGCCGGTGCCTTCTGCGCGCTCTCAGGGACGTGGGAGGCCGCGCCCGCGAGGCGTGGGGAAACCAAGAGGTACAGTCGAGGCCAGTGCACAAGAACCCTTCGCAAGAAGCCCAACCTTGAGACCCCAGGAGGTCCATTGGTTTTTGGTGTGGGAGCGTCGCGCTCTCCAAAGCAAAACCATCGAAACCATCGAAACCCAGGGAACCCTGGAGGCAAGCAGGGTGTTTCTTGGCACGGGTCTCCACTTTACCGATACGGCTACTCCCCTGGACCTCTCACAGGGTGCTTCTTGATCAGATTTCGAAGGGATTCAGCCATGGCGACAAGGACCTCCCCTGGGCCCCAAAAAGGCGAAACCGAGGGACTCAGTGACATGGCCCCCCAGAGGTCTGGACCCCTTCCCAGGGACTGGCTTTTCATCTGGAGTCGTTTCTAGACGGTCCCTTTGCCCAGTCGGGGCTCATGGGGAAGAACGTTATAAAAAAACCATCCTCCATGTTCTTTTCATGACCCGAGTGGGTCTGGGGAACCCTGAGATCCGACGTTGCAAAACATTGCAACATCGCAAAAGATCACCACCGGAGCCCCGGACCCCATCTTTCTGCGCCATTGCTCGAGCCGGACCGCTCCGTGAGGGTCCCGGGGCCCGAGACCGAGCGAAAACGCCCGTGGTCAAGAATTGCAGCGACCGCGTTCAGGGAAGGGCAGCGGCATCGGTGCACTTCGGAAGGCCCACGACCCGCTGCCGGAGGACCTGCGCGAGGCGCTGGCCGGCCTCCGTCCTGGCTGCGCGGCCTCCGCCGCGGCCGCGGGGCCGTGGCTGCGCGGTGCGGCGCCGGCGTCCTGGGGGGCTCTGGCCGGGCTCCCCGAGCGGCCCGCGGGTGAGCAGGACGCCCGTGGAGGGCTCCAGAAAAGGCCTCGCCCTCGAGGGTGTCCCCAGACCCCCTCGAGTCGCGCAGAAATGAAGACGGCAGGTTTTTCGCAGTTTTCGGGCTCCAGGGGCCGTCACCGGGCCTTGGGAGCGTCAAAAAACGACCCAGGGTGAAAATCCGATCCCCGGGAAGGTCCAGACTTCTAGGGGCCACGTCATGAAGAAAATCGCGACGTCGGGGGTCTGGGTCGATGGAGTTGGCGCCTTGTCCTCGGCGGAAAAGGTCGGCATACGTCCGGCGGAAGTGAGACGGCGGCGGGTCCGCCGGCGGAAGGCAGCAGAAGGCCAGCGGAAGTCGGCGGAGTTCACGTATGCGTCCCCAGGAGATGGCCAGGGGAGGAGGAGGAGGAGGAGGAGGAGGAGGAGGAG